ACACACATCTTGAATTTCAATTTGGCCTCAGCAATTTGTTTCTATTTTTAGCTTTTTATCCTCCCCCCTCATTCTATCTTCTGACTGCCTTCAGTTTCTTTTCTTTTTTTTTTTAACCTTACTCAATTTTGCCTAATGATTAAATCATTCAAGGTTTATCGTCACCTTAATTGACTTTCAAGCAGAGAGAAATGTGAAAATAGACGTCACCGATAGGAAACTGCTCCTGTTCGGTGAATTCGCCCTGTGAATGACTAATGTTTCTGCTGTGCAGACGCTCACAGTTTGAACACGCAGGAGCAGAACGCACAGAACGTTACATGCAATTATTTAGCAGTAAAATCCTTATTAGGTCACTGTGCACACATTATCACGTAACACATGAAAAATGCATGTATGGAAAACACAACACACACATGGCAGGTACGGGCAGATCAGACAGGTGTGTGACAATCAAGCCGTCAACACGAGAGTGTTAAATTATGATGTTTGATGGTTAATAAAACTCTTTAAATTTTATACACATTTTATACAATTTAATGTTTTAACCATATTTAATGGTGGTCTACCTTCTGCTCCATACTGTATTTTTGCACCTTAGTTTTCTGTGCTGTGTATCTTTTATCAGAACCTCGCTTTATAAAGTTTAATCCTTGGCTGTTGTATGTATAAATACTGGTGGTTTCAACCTATTAAATGTCTAGTTTAGCGTCACAGAGTTAGCAACAGCAATCTTAACATGTAAACATCCTTATCTCTTGTATGTTGCCCCGGGGGCAGATAATTAGTTTGTCTCCATGTATGTATGAGGGAAAGCAGAGCTTTTCCTGAGCGCTCGTCTATGAACTTAATCCAGTGTTCGGGAGACTTGATTCTCGCTCTCCAGCAGAGTTAGAGCGCCGTTCACACTAGCGAGAGCAGCTAACACAAAACACAATTTAGATCCAGGCAGTAAATCCTCCTTCGCAGCATTAGCTGCAGACAGAGCTGCTCAGCACAGGCTTACAGTCATCGAGCAGGGCAGAGATTGAAGGGACGATAAGAGGTTAAGCACTATTACATGATTGTAAGTGTAGCAGGCCGTAATTAGGGAGCAGACGTGAGGAACATTGATTTGAGATGGTGTGGAGATAGATTGATGGGAGGGCTGAGGGTGAGGAAATGATGAATGGACGGAGAGGAATGAGAGCCGTGGAGCTCCGAGGTCAAAAAGAGAGCGGTGTGAGAAGCAGCAGGTGTGTGTGGAGGATCCAGGAGGAAGATGAGAGGAGTAAGAAGACTTGGTGATGGTTTTAACTCCCTGTTGATTTAAGTTGGTCTTAAACCAGTTGAGGGTATAATCACTTTCCTTCTTCACTGCTCACCTGTTTTGTGTTGTTTTGTTTGGTACTGTGAAGGTGTCACCAAACCAGGAGTAGATCTACAGTGGACCCTTTGTGTCATCTGTATACAGGAAGTTGACTCACTCAGGTGGTTGCAGACCATAGTGGCAAATAGAGTGACCAGCTCGCAGTCCCAAGATGTGGATTTTGTTTGAGTGGGAAAAATACTTTATATATATATATATTATATAATTATTATTAATATTGTTATTTTAATTGTCTTTTTTATTTCTATTCATTTTAATAACATGTGCACAAGCTATACAATATCACAGCAGTTTCACCCAGTGACAGAAATTAGTCTGGCACAATATACATAACACTCACAGGTTTTCACAGGTCTTATCTAATTATAGAAAATATATAATTAAGTGACTCACCTGGTCACACTAGTCCAGGGGTGTCCACACTTTTTCGGCTTGGGAGATACTATTTAAATGACCAGGGTAAAGTGATCTACCTATATTGAAAACTATAGATATATATTTCCTACTTTGATTAAATGGCTACAGTTGTATGGCACAACACCGTCTGACTCAATACTTCTATGGTCCTTACTTTAGCACTGGTGATTAGCATCTTAAAATAGAATTAAATCTATCATTTTTAAAGTTTTTTTTTGTTTGTTTCTTTAATTGCTCAGGATCTACCAGCACTCCCTTTGAGATCTTCTGGTAGATCCTCGATCTACTTATTGAAGTACCCTGCACTAGTGGCAAAGTATTGTGAAGCCATGGAGGACGACTGTAAACACAGTGACGTTCATTTAGTCAAACCAGATTCGTGGCCTCAGTGTCTGCCATGTTCTCACTGTGTTTCTTCTCGGTGCTCCTTTCTGTCTGCTCAGTTTTGGCGACGCCTCTCTTTCTTCCGCCTCCACCCTGGAACACATTCCATCCTCGGCGGTGGCTCGTCCTCGGCCCCTGGTCCGTCAGCAGAGTCTCCAACAGCCCCTCACTCACCAGCCCCCTCCGGGTCCCAACGATCCCCCAGTCACTTCACAAAGCCTGGGCCAGCTTCATACGGGCCCCGGCGGAGGTGGTCACCGCGGGGGTCCGCGAGGGGTCCGGGGGAGTCCGGCTGGAGCCTCCCGGTACAGAGGAACTGGGGCAGGCCGCTCAAGGTCAAATCCAGGCAGCTGGGATCACATGGTGGAGCAGATTCGCCACAGAGGACTGGACATGAAGTCGTTCTTGTGAGTGTCGTTGAGATTTACTTTTCGCTAAACAACATTTCAGAAACAATAAGAAAAAAAAAAAGCTGCTGAACAGCTGCTGTTTTTATTGGTAGTGAATTAGAAACCACATCGATATCAACAATGTTAGCTATATAACAATATTTTAAAACAGTAGAAATGGTGGCAGACATTTTGATGTCATGTTTGATTTCATGTATTACAGGGGTTAGGGTTAAAACAGTGGAAATCAAGGGCTGGGCAACCATTACAAATGATCAATCACATTAGTATGTGTCATTTGTTGTGAATAATCTTATTAAGTGCAAAATGTAATTCATTTTAGAGTAGCGTGTTGTGCACATGCATTTGAGTATAATATATGAACAAACAATAACATAAGGGTCGTAAACACTTCATATAAACATGGTGTCTTTTCCAAGCAGTATTCTCTTCACAAAGTAGCAGTTTAAACATTTCTTGTTCATTTCAACTAAGATATCAATATGACCAAATATTATAAGATACTGTATATTAAAATCAACCAAAACTATTTCCCAAAGGCATTAACTTATATTTCAGAAAACTCCAGTCTACCCTCAGTCCAGCACCACATTCATAACATTTTAACAGACACCTTAAAAGCAACAGCAGACTGTGAATATGTTTCCCCTTTGTTTTTGAACAGGAACCAACACAAACATTTGTCTTTTATATCAGGGAGCAGCATAAACGCTTTATGACCAGTGTCTCTTTTCAAAGGTGCACAGCTGGGATTTACTGTGCAGGATTTCCTTCCTTTCTTCTGCTTCCTAAAAAGGGACAACTCTCTAGCTTTTTTGTTGTTTTTTAAATCAGTGTTTCCCAAACTTTTTTTTCTGGGGCCCCATATTTTAAAAGTCACAAACCTTCGCGACCCAAGTCAATAGACATTATTCGTAAATCACAAAATAAAGGTGTACTTGACCATAACTGAAAATGAATGAGTATATTTCATTGCTGAGTGATATCTGAGCAGTTTTACTCGAGTTTTAAACAAAACCACAGGTGGAGCTTTTAAACTAGCAGCTGTTCTGAGGTTGGATGCAGACAGCTGTTGCAATGACCGTGAACTCCTGGGAAACATGATGCGATACGACCCAAAAAAAATCTTTTGTGACCCACCTGAGGGTCGCGACCCAGTCTTTGAGAAACAATAGTTTAAATGAATTGACCAAATAACATTTGTAATTATAACTTATTCAAATGTGCTTCTTATAGGGGTTAGAATATTTAAGAGAGAACAGTGAAATGTAAAATCCATATCAATACTGCATGAGCAGCAACAGGTTCATGTGTCTGTCTCTTTGTAGCTGCACTGATGATTCGACAGTTCTTACGTGTCCATGCAGGTTATTAGAAGAACAGGGGTGTCAAACTCATTTTGACTCACGGGCCACATACAACCACTACAACTAAATAGACGTCAAGTGGGCCGGACAAGTACAATTCTAACAGAATTATCTATAAGTAACAATAAGTTCATATTTTCCCCTTTGTTTTCATGCAAAAACAAGAATATTAGATATTTATTTTTATTTATTCATATTTAATGATTTTACAAAAAATATCCTGAACATTGTGTATTTTTCTTATTTTCAAAATTCATCAAGTGGGCCGGATTGAACACCCAAGCAGGCCGGTTTTGGCCCCTGGGCCTTATGTTTGACACCACTGACCTACAGGCTTTAACCTCTGCCTTGGTGTTATAGGTTATTGAAATACAGTTGCTCCTGTACTCAACACTGGCTGCTTTTTTTTTGTTCTGCTACTCTCGATCAATGTCTCTCAATCAGCATGTACGCACTATGAATAACTCACGCCCTTCTTTCTCATGCTCAAAGGGAAAGTATGCGCATACACGCGACACAGAACGTGAAACACCTGCATGTGTGTACATTTACATTTGTACATTTACATTTGTGCATTTAGCAGACGCTTTTATCCAAATCGACTGACAGAGGAGGATTAACATTTTCAAGCATGTGGTTCCCCTGGGAATCAAACCCAGGACTCTCTGCTCCTAAGGCAGGCGTGCTAACCGCTACACTATGGAACCACCAGTTTACAGTTTGTAGGAGGGTATTAATGCAGCAGGGTCACTTTCTGTATTTGTCCATACCCATCACCACTTGTGTCACGCCTGCACCGTCAAATGTAATACACAGTCTGCAGGTCTTTCAGTGACTCGCAAAAATATACGCTATCGACAACTGCCAGGTTGATTTTATGTTTTCCGTGCCTCCTCCAGAGGAACTGCTGCTTTGTTGGGGCTTTTGGTTTTTTTTTTGTGTTTTTTTTTTCATCTTGCGTTTTGCCTGAGAAAGAAAGGAAAAGCATTGCATGAAAAGCATGTGGGCTGTGAAAGTAAAAAATGACTGACAGATTTGAAAGATAAGAGGATCAGTGGAAAATCTGGAGGAGCTAAATTTAAACGCGCTGACCAGAAATCTTTATTTCGAGACATGTTTTTTAATAACACTTGCATTGGAACCTGTTCTGTGGATGTATGTGGGTTATGTTGTTGTGACTGTGCTGCGGCCAAGTGTTTATTTGAGGTCACTGAACAGCCTTTGGAATTTACAGCCCAGCAAACTTCAGTGAGATGTCATTTGAATGACTCCAGGCATGAATAAAGTCAGGAAACACCTCATAAAAAATAGATTCAGTATTACCTTCACAGCTTTTTAATGATGCCTCTTTATTTCATGGCTTTTTTCTTTTCTTTGCTTATTTTTGGATTTTCTTACATGCATGTCGTTGTGGCCATCTTTATGTCCCCATTTTGGAATTTGACCTCCTGCATCAGGTGTGTCTGTGCCTACAGAAGTACACCACCAGATTTCAGCCTTAACAATGATTGGTTTGTCGACTGATGTCATTAAGACTGACATCATCAAGAAGTACAGTGTGGACTACATTTTTGCTTCTGTGGTATTTTGTCTGTCTGTGTGTCCAGTGAGGGGAAGATGGTTGTTCTGTCTCTTGCGATCGGCCTGGCTGAACAGGATGACTTTGCCAACCTCCCAGATCTACAGGAAGCTCCAGCAAGTAAAGAAAATGAGACCACACCTGAAAAGAGGTAACCAGAGAGAGAAAGAGGGAGGCTAAAAATGAATAGAATAGAAAACCTTCAATCCTGATTAACAGGCACTAATTCAGTGGTTTGAAAATCACATCCATTTGTAGTGTGATGTAGACTAATGGGATGTCTTAAATCTTTCCTTGAATTTTAGCATTCATTAAGAGTTTATTGAAGTGATTATAGTCTCAGAGCATCAATCTGTTTCCTCCATACAGCATAATCTGTTTTTTATGGAAACATTGACGTCATTTCAGGCCAAAATAATGGCATATATTCATGGGATGTTGACACTGTGGGTCATTCAGGTCAGTCACGCAAACCTCTGCTCTTTCAGATGATTGTTGTCTGGATGCACAGAAAACTATTGGTTTTCTGGAGTTATGAACTCTTTAACTGCAGTTAATTTCCTAACTATCTCTCTATATACATATATATATGTTTTGACCTGGCATGGGCGGGAAAAATAATTTTGAAATTTTGAATTTTACGCAGAGGGGAAAAATATTCCTAATTAAATTATAAATTATATTAATTATATTATTCAGGACTTTTAAAAAAATACATTTGGAACCTAAGAAGGTTAATCTAAAACTTTTTTTCTAACTTTCCCATATATAAAGTAAATGTGTGTGCTCTGTTAAGGCAGGAGTGTGTTATTCTCTCCTGCCTTCCTGCCCATCTCTTTTTTGGTTTGTTTTTTTTTTTTTTTGGTTTGTTTTGGGGTGTACTCTTTTGTTAGAGCTTTCTCCCACAATCATATATATATATATATATATATATATATATATATATATCTATCTCTCTCACTCTCTCTCTCTCTATCTATCTATCTATCTATCTATCTATCTATCTATCTATCTATCTATCGATCTATCTATCTATCTATCTATCTATCTATCTATCAGAGGTAGTCAGATGAAACGCTCTCCTAAAAATATGCTACCCTCTCATCTTAGCAGTGCTCTCACAGCAGCTTTTACAGATGAACATCTTCCGGCAGATGCAGGACACGGGACTAAACAAACTCTTCTGTTATCATCTCAGACTGTGGCAGGGATAAAAGTTTGAGCTTAATCCTGGTCCTCAGACTCCAGTCTCCACCATTGTGGACGGCTCTGTTATTAATAAATGCGTCTTGTGAAATCCTCTTTGCTGTGCATCCAAGTGTGCTTTTCTAACTAGGTCATCTGCAAATTTGTGCTGGATGAAAAATTGCTCCCTTGAAAGAAAAGAACATTTTTTTCTCCCCCCTACGTTTTATAGTTCTTGGAACAGGTGTGGTGTTTGTTTTCATTCAGGATGTGATTTCAAACGATTTTAACCTTTAAAACCAGGGACAAATCATATTGAGATTTAAAAGCTCTGAATGTCAGTGTGAGGATGAGGACCTCTCGTCTGTCCATTGTCTGCCCTGCGTCCGCCGGCATTGGAGCGCTGTCCGGCCCCTGACTCTAATCACAGTCAGAAAGTCTATACCTGCAGGGATCACAGGAACAGATCTGGTGTCCTTGGTTACCTAGAACAACTGCTCCCCATCAGTCCATCTCACTAATCTCTCTGTCTGTATAGTTTTCCAGTAAGATCATTGAGCTTGTCTGCTGCCTCGCCGGCTGGTTTGGACGAGCCCGGCAGATGGAGAACAATTGGACTGGATGATCCCGGAGAGAAGGATGTATGTGAGGAGACGAGACACTGTCAGACACAGAAAGAGTGGGAGACCTTTACTCTGCAGCTTCCTAGAGAATATGCTGCAGGATAAAAATAGTCCCTTCCATGGAGATTTTTCTTCCCCTGCTGTTTTATTAATGAAATCACATGCAGCTGAGAGCAGTAGGATTTACCAGGAGAAAATTTGATTTAAAAGAGTTTATAAATGGGTAAAAAAAAAACGAATGGCTTTTTACGGTGTCTAGAGATTCAATACACATTTGTTAAATCAAAGTATTCACAGTAAACAACCAAACACAACACAGAGTTTTTTCTCACAGCTGCTGATTAAAGTTTCAGAGCAGTATATCAGAAGTACACAAAAGTACAACAACAGTACAGTTGTCAAAGATCCACCGCTCGAAGCTGTGTTGTCAAGTTCTGTTCCAAAATTCTGATCCGGCCCAGTCAGCTGTTGTCTCATGAACTCTTACGTCTTCCCCTGGTCTGACAGTTTGACAGAGAGAGTTTGACATCAAACAGACTAAATATTTTATCAGTGTCACTGCTGTTATTGTTCTTTCCATTGTTAGATCCCGGTGCCTGCAGTGGTACATCCCACAGAGGATAACCAGGGTTAAAGTAGTTCACAGGTTAGAGCTCATCACCCAGTTGTGTCAGCGTTGACCAAGTGTGTGTAAAGCCTCTAAGAACATCAATTCCCCACTTAGAACTCCGAACCCTGTGAGGAATCAACCCAACCACAACAAAGTCCACATTTGATTGTTGTGGTTTTCTGACAAACATCCAATAACCAATCCAAGAAGCTTCTCATGTCCCATTATGACATTTGATTCCAAAGCTATCTGAGCAAAAACTCTAGTGTTTGAGATTGACTGGACCTTTGGTAATGCACCTTCTATGCTGTAAATCCAAACAAATTGATATGGAAAAGCTTTCTCCGCGAGCCCTGCAGCCCCGGTGTTTGGTTTGTGCATCACTGTTAAAATGCCACCATTTCTGCAGCGTTTTAGGGTTGACTCAGTGATCACTGTAATCACGGCTGCATTAGCGCAGACTGTTGTCATGAATCACGATCAACACATCGCTTATATGTAACATTTTAACGTTTGCCTCCACACAGTGTGAATTGAAAGTGTGGGAATCAGTCATATACAGATGGATACAGGGAATCAAAGCTTTCCAGTCTTAATGCCTGTTATTTTTCCCACCTGTCTCTCAAGCTAATCGCCTCGAGGCTTACAATTGTTATTGTAAATTGATATAAAGGAGCTGCCACTAAACCCAATGAACGACAGTTTGTCTTTGTAAAATGAGACAAAAAGATTTTCAGGGAAAGGTTGTAACTGCAACCATCCCAAACACTGCCATCGCTCTGGTACTGTTACTCCTGAAACAGGAAGTGTTTGCTGATCAGGGAGTCGGTTTGTGATGTGATGATGCTTTTGTACATTTTGGTTTTTTTTCGATCCTTTTCCATTTATGTTTTACATACAGAATATCTTTAAAACCGATGCATACAGTATATTTTTTAGATTTAAAAAATCCATTCAGCTACTCGTGCTATTATAGATGATTTTAAGACAAACCCTGAACCACTAATGTGACACTGCCAGTTAGATGATTGAAGATCCTCAGGATGACTGACTGTAGTCACCTACAGTTACTCCTCTATCATCTCACCTCAGATGATACAGATCCCTCAGATCATCAACATACACGTGACAACATGATACAACTCTTTAAAAAGTTAATTTCCGAGTTTTGTCTTTCATAATTTTACTTTGTGTCTGCTGGTTAGGAAAGACTTGCCTTCGGTTGTTTCATTGTTGAGCTCCTATGGCAGATGTAGTATTCATTGTGATGTAATGTCCCAGCCAACAAGGCTTGGTTAAAGGAGGCCAGATGGAATCCTAATTCTGCCAGGAGTTCACACACACACACTGGCAGATTTGGGTCGATTGTGTTGCCTTCGCATGTTCTCCTTACGTCTGTAAACTCTGGCTTTTTATATTCCAGACTCAAGAAAAATAGGGTCAGGTGAACAAAAGACTCCTAACGGTTATTTGTTGTTGTTTGTTTGAATCCAGGATGCTGCATAGCCCTTAATGTGGAACGGTAAAACGTACATTTTCTACTTTAAGAGTTTAAGAAAGACGTCTAATTGCTATAGAGATACGCACACAAAAACATTATAGTATATAAGGATTCCTGTGATATCAAATAAAATGTGGTTTTAATTATGAGTTCTTACCTTCGAGACAGACGATACAGTAGCTGCTAATGGTGGCATTAGGAGAGAGGGA